CTGCTAGATCCGGGACTTGAACTGTGCCAACCATGCGGGAATCCAGCACCTTTAACGGCCACCACACTACCTGCTGGCCCCTCAAAGTTAATTTGAAATGTACGTTACATCATTATTGACTATAGGCATCCTGCTGTGCAGTAGATCTGAAAAACTATTCCTCTTATCTATCTGAAATGTTGTACACTACGATCGACAACCTTTAGCATACATCATAGTCGGTAAACTACAGATTTAAAATCAAATACACATGATTTTAAGTTGTAGATCTATCTCTCACACTTTTCAGATATGTAATATTCAGAGAAAGTTCTTAACTTTTTTGCCTTATTTTATTATCTGGAAATTCGGTATACTAATAATATTACCTACTAGAATGATTAACAGAGACTGAGATGGGGATGGAGGAGGAGGAATGGTTGTTGAAATGCACGTTTTATTTCTTCCTGTATTTCAGTGATCACAAGTCAAGCATAAGATAATTTACAAGTAAACACCCTCACAGTATGTGTGGTGGCCATGAAGTAAGAAAGTCCAATTTTTTTACTTTCTTTTGCCTTCAATTCCAGCTCAGTGTGCTCATGGCTTTACACAATAGGGTCAAAGAACAAAGCGTGGCCCTTTAAAAACCATCAGCCGGGCACACAATTCTCACACCAAAAGCTCGGAAGGAAGGCGCCCACGCCTGGGAAAGTCTAGATGCCCTCAGAGTTGAAGATGGCGTTTTTCTGAGTCATAGCAAACTTACCGCGCTACCTTCGCTTCAACTGTTTGGATTCCTTTCGGTGTATTAGTCAAGATGTTTTGCTGACAGACACAGGGAAATCTATAGGAGGCGGGTTAGTTTACACACTGTCCACTCGTCGTTGTCACTACGCACACACACACACAATCCTTCCTTAAAAACGCAAGCTAGACTGGAAATTTTAGACAATGAACAAATCTTGACCGAGTAATGGACAAAGCAATCTCCCCTTATCTCCTTATAGGTTTTACTTTTCTTTCTTTCTTTTTTTTTTTTTTCTTTAATAAGTACGTTTCGTAAGGTGTCTGTGCCACCCTGGGAACTCACCTAAGCCTGAAGCTTAAAAAGCTTGGTTCTTGCCTCTGACACGCAAAGGAAGCGCTGGGGTGAACACATCAGCCTACCGCGGAACTTCCCGGCTCTCTAAGGCTATGTTTTTAATACGAGAGAATACTTTCGTTTGCTTTTCCAAATGCACCCTGCCAGCGTAACTCGAATCCCGCTAGGATCTCGGGAAAAAGAAGGTCGACTGCGGGAAGCTGGCGGCAGCGGTTCCTGGGTCCGGCGGAACGCGGGGGTCCAGGAGGTCCCTGATGACTGGTTCTGCGGCTGTGCCTGTGGCACCTGTTCTCGGGCGTCGGACACTGTACCGGGATAGCCGCTGCGGCTGTCCCCGTCCTACGGGCTAGGCTGGGGCTGGACGGTATGGTCACCACCGGGAAGGAGCGCGCGAGTCAGAATCCGAAAGGGAGGCGCGGGGCAGCGAGGGAGGGGAGGCGAGAAGGAAGGAGCGCTCAAGGTGCGGGCGGGGGTGCGGAGTGGGTGGAGAAAGCTGCTGGAGCAAATTTGAGGCCGGACTTAGCAGAGCTGGCTTTTAACCTGGGCAGTGGAGGAGGGAGAAGGAGCAAAAAAAAAAAAAAAAAAGAAAAAGAAAAAAAAAAGGGGTGTGTGGGGTTAGGGTGGGTGGGCAGGGTTGGAAGCAAATGACATCACAGCAGGTCAGAGAAAAAGGGGTAAGCGGCAGGCTGCGGAGGAGTAGGGCGTTTGGCATTAGGAACTCAAGCCCAGCCTGCCTCGGAGAGACCATGCAGAGGTCGCCACTAGAAAGGGCCAGCGTCATCTCCAAACTTTTTTTCAGGTGAGAGGGTGCACAGCCAAGCTTTGGAAGGACACGTGCCTACAGAAGAGAAGGGCGTGTGTATGGGCTGGGTTTGGGGGGAAAGTATAGTTTTATGAGATGTGCTAGCATTTATTGTTTTGAAAGGAAATGTGTTTTTTTTTATGGAATAAAATAGAAAATATTAAAGAAGAGATAAAAGAATAGACTGAATCTGATTGTATAGAGAGCCAAATATACTTGCAAAAACGAAGGTCAGACTTTGAAGACACAAATACGCTACAGTGCAATTGTTTTTGTTTATTTTAAAAAGAAATTTATAAATTATGAACTTGTTAATAACAAATATTAAAGTTTTGTTCATTGTCCCCCCCCACCCCCACACACACATCATGCTCAGAAATTTGTATATCTTGGCACATACTACAGTTGACATGCCTGCATGAAGTAGGTGCTCAGAAGACATTTGTGCAACTGAATTTTGGGAAAAATAATTGGGGAGAGGGAGGATGGGAATTATGTGCTTAAATTAAGTTTTTATTGTTACAATACTGAGTAAATATAAGTACATGCCTCCATTCCATTATTCTTCCTCTTAAGAAGGAAAGCAAGTCTAATGAAATATTTATCTGTAAAAGAAAAAAGTGTATTCAACAAGTTATAAATTTTAACAGTCACGGGACTAGATTTTAAAGTTATATCCAACTGACATTTAATGAATTGTACTTTTATCCTGTCTTGCATGTGATGAGCCATAAAAGCTTTCAAACTTCATCTAATGAGATTTTTTAAAAAATAGAGTCTAAGTTCAAAGTCTTAGACAAAGTGTAATTAGATGTAGCACTTCACATTTGAAGTGTTCTTTGGATAGGGCATCCGCTTTGTTCCTGTTATTATACTTGTGTGGATGAATGAATAGGTACAGGTCTCTCATGGGACCTTACTTGACTCATAATTCTTCAGTGAATCAGCATGCTGAAGTATCAGAAAAGTCAAATACATTATAAATATGCTCATATGTGTGTGGGGGGAGAGGGATCTGCCTTTCACATCTTTCTCATGTTTAGTTTTCTGCATGTGCAATAATCCTGGAACTCAGGCGCTAACCAGAGGCCATTGGCCATTGAAAGAGAGCGCCTCCCTGTGGATGGGAGGGAAGGACTTTACTCTTTGGAATCATCTTTTGTGTTGATATTTGCAGCACCTTTTCTTATTCCATCTACAAAAATGCTTTATCTTTTCAATTTTCCAGTTACTTATAAAAGTCGGAAGGCTAATTGACATAAATTAGAGACTTCTCAAGGGAGCACTTTGAGGAACCTAAATGCCAGTCAGTCTAAAAATGCAATTTTTAGGAGAATGAATATCCCATGGCTACTTCTCAGTATTAAGAAACTTTAAAATAGCCCATTGTTGACCTCTCAGAATGTTTTGTTCTTTTTAATTTTCTTCTACAGATCACCTGAGACATTTTAGTGTAGTTAGAGAAATGCTCTCAAGTTGAGTGCAAAGAAAACGTATTAGAGTGGCTACTAAATTTGTTAAGAGCATACTCATTCTTGTTCTCCAAACTATTTCATAATAAGTTGCTCTAAGAATAGGTATGTTTTTTAAAAGTTAAGTTTCTACTATTTATAGGACTGACAGTCACTTGAAGTACCAGTGTTTAAAAACTTCCTTTAGGATTATAGTTCTGAAAGTCTAAAAACTTACTTTCTGCATCGGGTTAGACATTATTGCTTAGTGGTCAAGGGCATTCAAATTGCATTTAAAATGTTTTAATTCAAATCCCAAATCTACTGCTCAGTAGCTGTGCGACCTTAGGCAAGTCCCATAACATCTCTTTGTGTGACTTGACCTTTAAAAGTTGGAGACTAATAGGATCTATGTCACAGCAGTTAATCAGCTGAAAAAATGCACACAGAGTGTTTAGGACAGTAACTATAACATACTATTATTATTACCAATTACCATATTTTGACTTTTTTAACAGTAGCACATACCTTATTTACATAAGATGCTTCATTCATCTTTTTAAAATACTTTCTATCAGTCTGAATATGCAATGAATAATCATTTATTAGATTTTTAATTAAGGGAAAATCTTGTCTAACATGACCTTACCCAACAGATAGGAAAAGAATCATGTGCTTATATTACATATGGTTAAATGCCTTGAAATTTAACTTTCTGAAGTTGACCTCTTCAGTTTCAGAGTCATAAAACAGTAAAACTGTTACCTAGGCTATGGATTAAATATCCCTTTCATTGTCTAGATTTTGTCATTGGAAAACCAAAAATGTTTGGAGAAAATTTAAGTATTTTCTTAATTTTGCATGAATACATGCATTGGGTACAAAATTTGAAAGATATTTGGTTTGTTAAAATGCTTATTACGATAATTCTTTTAAAAGTTCATGGAAAATGTACAAAAATCTATGCATGGATTTAAAATTTTTTTGAGAGATTTTTCTATAGGGTGTGTGCTCTTGCTGGAGAGACAGAGAAAGAGAGACAGAAAGCAAGAAATCACCCTCCAAGAGGGTTAGCCATGCCCTAATCCCTTTTCCTCTATTCTTCCCTCAGGATTTTTCGTGTGCACATGCACCTGGCAAGAGTTTCAAGCCCCTGGGTCCAGGACTGGAACCTTGGTTAACTATGTGGGAGTCCAGTTATTTAATCACGCCACCTGCTGGTTCCCCCCAGTTTTTTGCACCAAAAATAAACTTACGCTTTAATTCAATTTTCCTTGAACTTTTGAAGTTAAATATGTGTATAGTTATTCTATATAATAAACATAATCTGAAAAAGAACTTTACCTCAAAAAATTCAGATAGTTTATAAATATCATAGAAAATAGGTATGTTAACTCAAAGCTTTTTTTTTTTTTTTTTGGCCAGAGGGCATGTGTGCTTGCTGGAGAGAGACAGAGAGAAGGAAAGCGAGAAAGCATTCCCCCACTGGGGATGGCCATGCTGCGATCCCTCCTCCTCCATTCTCCTCTGGAGATTCTAGCAAGCCTGCATACAGGCCCAGCATGTTTTTCAGGCTTGTGGGTTCTAGACTCCAACTACACAATCAGTCATGTGGGATCCACACACCTTACCCACCATGCCAACAGCTGGCCCCGGTTGAAGCTATTACTAAAGCAGCCTTTATGAAATAGGAAGATATTTTTAAACTAGAGGTGATATATATGCATAGAGTTTATGATTCATGTACCATGGGATTGATTTACAAATGTTTACCATAGAAAAATTATGCTGTTTCCTTTGGAGTAATTTTTCAAGTTTACATTTTCTTATAACTTTTTAACTTTTCTTTATTCCTTATAGAACACATGTGTTCAAGTGAGAGTGAGAGAGAAAGAGAGATGAGCACCCTTCACAGGCTCTAGTCATGCCATGATCCTCTAGCCCATGAGTTCCTGGGCACTCGTATGCACCCAGTGTATTTTGGGCTGATCAGGCCATGGACTTGAACTTCAGTTGCCATGTGAGATTGACTTCTCTCATCAGCTTCTCTTGAGTACTGCATTAACCATTGCACCATGGAGCCAGCCCATATTTCTCATTACTTTTAAGGTAGTTGTAGTTTCTTCTTCTCTGTTCTCCCATTCTGTTTGATTGTTACATTATGTAGCAAACTGTGTCAGATGATGTTATTTGAATTTTGGTCATGGTATCTATCTCAGAAGTCTAGGTCTATACTCATGGAAATGTGGGAACCCCATCAGATCCTTATACACTGCCAAATCTCTGGATATAAACTGGTATAGACTGGATAGAGTGCCGTAAACTGCAGATAAGTCTCAAGACCAAAGAGTCAAACAATGTTAGCATCTAAGCTGGAAATTCAGCAGATAATTGCATACTCTAAGTCTCAGGATAATAGTAAGATGATTTAAGACCATTTTAAAAAATAGACCATAGTTTATTTTTATATCCATCATGCCATGAATTCACGGGGAATAGGTTTGAGAAGTTCAGACTCCTTTCCATTGGTTCTCACAAAGTGTGCTTCTGTAGGTGGAGCAAGCCGGTGCTTCCGTTGAACCCAGGTACCTTTCTCTTTGGTTTCCTTCTTTTGCTGGTCATTGCTTTCCTTTTAGGAAGCTATCTCTGCTCTTAATGCTTAATATGCTCAATATGCACATTAATTTTCTTGGCAAGCAAATTGCCTTTAACTTGTTTGTTTACAGCAATGCCAGCAGCATGAGGGGTAACATTGTAGACTCTTCCAGTTTTGCCATGGTAACATTTGTGGGGCATTCCTTTTTGGACAGTACCCATTCCCTTGGTGTCTACAATATCACCTTTCTTGTAGAGTCCCTTGTATGTTGCCAAAGGAACCACTCTTTTCTAAAAGGCCTAGAGAATATATATTGGGTGGCTCTCCTCGTTCCCTTTGTTTTCCCTTTGTGTTGTCATTTTGGTGAATTACTAGAAGGTGGCGGTTCACTTTTAAAGTTATTTAACACAAAATAATGAGATTTTTAAATGCTAGAATTTATACGCCAGAATTGATCTGGTGGCTCAAAATGGCTACCAATGAATAACACACTCTTATTTTAGCATTCTAACTTTGATCAAAATATTTTTTGGATTTCTAATTATGGAATTACAATTAAAAATAGCATATGGATTTCTTCTCTATAAATTTCTTCTGTATGTGCAGCTTCACTTTTTAAAATAATTATTTCATTTAACTTTATTTATTTAGTTTGTTAGTTATTTTAATTTTACCAGCATGTGTGTGTGTGAGAGAGAAAGAGAGAGAGAGAGAGAGAGAGAGAGAGAGAGAGAGAGAGAGAGAGAGAGAGAGAAAGTGAGAAAGCAAGCCATCAGGTCTGGGACTTGAACCACAGTTAGTCATGTGGGAGTCCAGTGCCCTTAACCACCACCCCACCTGCCGGTCCCTGTATATGTAGCTTTATTACTTTACAGACATTATTTTATAGTCAAAACTTACTTTAGATTAAGTCATATTACCCAAGATGGTCACTTGGATTTGCTTCCAAA